TTAGTGAAGCCTTATATACTGAGCTCAAAATCTGGATTGATAATCGATGCTTTGAGATGTACGATTTATCCAAAGCTTCCAACATCATGACATCCAGATATGTATACAAGTGGAAGTTCGTAAAGATGGGTACCGAGAACGTTAAAACCATTCGTCTCAGACTGGTCCTTCGTGGATTTATGGATACTGAGGCTTTTGATGTGGAAACATTCTCGGGAACCGCCCGAAGGCAGTCCCAACGACTCCTGGCAAGTGAAGCGGCATGCCATCCAGAGTGGATCTTAGCATCCATGGATATCGATAAGGCGTTCCTCAAGGGTTTGACCTATGAGGAACTTGCCCATGCCACCGGCGAGGAAACTCGCATGGTTTGCTTTACTCTTCCACCAGGAAGCGCTCAGGTACTTCGTACATTACCCGGCTTCTCATCCTACGACGAAAGTCGACACTGTCTTAGATGCCTCAAACCAGGAACGGGCACTAAGGACGCTCCAAGAGCGTTCTCTCTCAAACTTCGTACGACCACACGAGCTATAGGACTTACACCGACCAGCTACGATCCTGAATTTGAATTCAGCCAAGACCTTCTGACGGCAAAACATGTCGATGATATTAATATGACAGGTCTAGAGAAAAATATAGACGACTATGTACAACGTGTCGAAAAGGTGTTTGGCAAATGCAAGCTCAACAAGCACACATATACGAACTGCGCCGTTCGCTACACTAAGAATGATCAGGGAGATGTGATCATGGACCAGGACGAGTACATTAAACAACTACGTCCTATCACACACCCAGAACTTACAGGAGCGGCGGCCGACGCCAAAGCCACGAAACTCATTACCGACATGTTCGTCAGCCTGCGAGGAGCCCTCGCCTATGCCCTTCTTACCCAAATCTGGCTCATGGTATATGTGGTCTCTCTTCAGAAAATTCAAGAGCCCACCAATTTGCAAGTCAGACGTTTGAATGCTGTGACGCGAAAGCTGATCAGCAGCCCGAAACGCATCACCTTCCCTCGGATGAAGCCGACGAATGAAGTTGACATCCATAGCGATTCGGGGTATCGGAAGCTTACCGGGGAGGAGGATGACGAGACCAAGGGCTACGGCATACGCGGGGCCAACGTACTACGGCGAGGAAACTCGCCTCAAGGCAAGTCCGTCGTTCACCTCTGTGACGGACTATGCAAATCACACCGATTACAGGTGAGGTCCAGTTATGCTGCGGAGGCACTTGCAGCCGCACATAACCTTGATGAGTGTTACCCTACGCTCATTACTCTCCACGAGCTTAAGGCAGGGGCTTTGACTCCACGACAACTACGAGACATGCGTGAAGTTGGAGGCCTTGCTATCAAAGTCTCTCTTACCATAGACGCTGAGTCCGTCTACAAATCTTTATCAAGCAGGGATCTCAAAATACCTACAGAACGGACTCTGCTTGGACATATCAGCTGGATACGTGAGCTCATGGATATAGGTATAGTACATAATGTGCAATGGTGTGATACTAGGGATATGACCGCAGATGGGCATACAAAGGGAAGCATCGATCGGGAGCTGCTTCTGGAAGTGATGTCAGGCACTCAGTCATTTAAGTATGACGTGAAGCAATTTGTTCCCTTTCGGGGTCCCGAGGACAGAGACAAACCTAAGTCTAATCAATTTTAGTCTGTCCTTGTTGCCCTCGCGGTCCAGTTTGCCAGCACGGGCGCCTACTATAAAGGCGCCCCTTTAGCTGCTCGGAAACGAGCCTTATATTTCACGCCTGGCAACGAGCCGGCTTCGTACAACTCAGGCTCTTTGCCTTAATACACATTTGCTTGGTGAGGTATGGCTTAATTTTGGCTTACCTCTAACTAAGCCGATAGCCCTTCATTGTTTGAAGGGGCTGTCCTGTATTTGCGTGAAATACTTTGCGAGGAAACTCGCCTTACAGTCTGGTGTTTGACCAGACTGTACGCACTGTTTTCTTTTCTTTGCAAACAGTCGTGCGCGCGATCTTTGCGTGCGACTATGCTCTCCGTCTCCTCCCCTCCCGACTTTAAGGGTAGCTCTTTGGGAGATGTTACAGTATCGGGAGCATAGCTCGCGCGCCGCTGCCTTGGGCTCAAGGCACGCGCGCCCTATTTGCCCGGACACCGCGAGTGTTCGCTATGTGCTGGAAAGATCATTACATCGATCTTATCCTATCTTACCCATCCACCCCTCATACTGTACCTTCACAGCAGAGCGATGGATGCAATTTGCCAGGCTATATGCCCTATTTGAGTTACCAGGCTCACTTTCGACTCTCAGGACGTGTGTAAGCCCAATGTGTGTTTGCCCCGATCGGCTCCGCCGGTAGCACGCAGCCTGTTCCGGCCCTCATTGACACCGCCTTCGTTCAGCGGCACCGTAACGGGTACTCACTAATGGGTACTTCGGAAATCTGCCGAAAGTTGCCACTTTAGGGACCCTTTCTGGCATTGCAGGGTTGCCCACATCGGGGAGGATTGGGTTCGCCGGGTCACTGGCCAAAGTACCCGTCAGTGGAGTCCCCGTTAGAGGGGCGCTGATTCGTCGTATCGAAGGGCTTCTGTGAACCATTTTTTTTTTTGGCGTTACAGTCGGACCGAGGCATGAGATCGAGGTCGGTTCGGGGAGGGTAAAACGACGCGAAGATCGGAACAAAATCGGATCGGGATAACTCGAAATCTCTGAGAATCGGCGGGTTTGGAGGATGTATTGGGCGCCGCGGCCGCTCCAGAGCGTTCCGGAGCGCTCCGGAACGCTCTGGAGCAATTCATCCCGATCCTAGCCCTGTTTTAGAGGGTACCCTAGCGCTCTCTGTGCTTGTTGGATGTTCCTTGTGCATCCTGGGGCGTGGAGCTCTGGGTGCTCGGTGTTTTTCGGCTGGCGGGGGGTCTCGTGCTCTTGCGGGATGTTCCTTCTGTCCTAGGTACGATTGTGACACACGTCCTGAGGCTTTCTGAGAGGAGCCTCGCCCAGGAGGGTCGGATGGAGGCATCGCCGCCCCACGGAGAGCCTGCACAGCTTCCGCCTTGGGCCGGTGGGCGTCCATCCCGATGCCCCTCGGTCTGCCTGCCGATTCCCGCCGACTCGATGTGTTTCGATGTCCGCCTCGGCTTTCCGACTCGATGTGTTTCGAGTGCCGCTTCGCCTTTCCAAGTCGATGTTGGTCAACCACGCGCCACAGATAAAGGGGGTGGAAGGCTTCTCAGAGGCACCCCTGGGTCCTAGAAGGCGCGGGCCTTGTCCACAGATGCAGGGCCAGCGCCCTCTGAGAAGCAGCCCCCTTCGAAGGAGCCTTCCCCCCTCCCCCTTCCCAGGCATGCGACGTCTTGATGTCTGTCGATGCGCGCAGCCTGGGAGTCCCGACCCGCTCCCGCGGGCTGGTGTCTCATCCCGAGTCGTCTCTTGACGGTCGCGGGGCCCCCAGGGAGGGCTTCGGAGGCCGAACATGCCCCCCCCCCCCACACAGAAACACCCTCTGCGCGCCGCAAGCCCTGGCCCAGGGTGCCCCCAGGATGCTCGGGGTGGCCCAGAGAGCCTCCAGGGCACCCCCTCACGAGGCCCCGAGGGCCCCACGGGGCTCCAGAACGGAGCGAGAATCTGGGGGCGCTTTGGGTCTGGGGCACCTTCGGCAACCCGCGAGAAGTCCTCCTCACTCACCGCAGGCCGTTTCGTCGCCAGATGTCCTCCTTTCAACCGCGTCGGCAGATGCCCCTCTCCAGCACAGTTCGAAGAAGAAGAAAAAAAAACAGTCGGAGTTCCGTGCGGATGTCTTGGATTTGCAGTGGGACCCCTTGATGGCGCCTCCATCGCCGCCCCTGGCGCGCTCCGCGCGCCAGAGAGGGGGCCCAGCGCCGAGAAGACTGCGAGCGGGCGGAACAGAGAGGCCGAGGAGGAGATGGGGAAGAAGCGGCGCGGGGAAGCCCCCCTCTGTCTCACGATCGGCTCCGTGCCGCACTCGCGGGCTGGACGAGTTTTGACCCCTCCTAAGAGGTCGGACGGATGGAGGGGAATACAGCCGGGGCCCTGAAGAAGGAACCCTTTTCGTTGGGGAGGGGCTCCGTGTTCCTGAAGTGTTTCACAGCTTGCCTCAGGCTTTCCTTATGTTCCCGATGGGAAATCGAAGTTTAACTTGTGGAGAATAGGGGCCTCGTTCCTTATTTAGGGTTCCTTAGGTCAACGCCCCGACTGTAGGGGAAGGTGGGGGGTACGAAATCTGCTGCATGCACCTCGTTTCGGCCCGGCCGCCAGCCGCGTTCCTCGATGCACGAGCGCCGTTGGCGCCGGGAGGCGCTGGAGAGGCTATCTGCGTGAGCTGAGTCGCTGCCACCCGTGCCGTTCGCCCCTTTCGTCCGCCCCGAGTGTGGCATTTGTTGGCGGAGTCTCTGACCCCTTTGAGCTCCCGCAGAGTGGACCACCCGGATACTAAGCGCAGACTGGACAATCCAGGTGCTACGCGCAGTTTGCGCGGTGACGGCGGCATGACCAAGTTCGCACGATTGCGTGCCAGCGACATTTTTGTTGGTCACATTCAATCTGCAGGATGAAGCTGGCAACGTATCATAGCGTCGTTCGGCTTTCACATTTTAGAGGGAGTTTGTTTCCAGGGCAGTGCGCCCTACGCGACTCCAGACGTATGACTTCTTGATCCTCCCCCCTGTCTTCTGTCGTTGCTGCCGCTTCGCCAGGGAGGAGGAGGAGGAGAAGGAGGAGAAGGAGGAGTAGGAAGGAGGAGGACGAGGAGGAGGAGGAGGAGGAGGAGGCGGGGGAGGAGGAGGAGGAGGCGGGGGAGGAGGTGGAGCAGGAGGAGGAGGAGGAGGAAGAGGAGGAAGAGGAGGTCCCTTAAGGAGGCATGGTGCCGACTCGAGGCCGGCCCTGTGTGTTTAGACTCCCTTTTTTCAGCGTGCGCGCGCCGCCGAGCACACGCGAAGGGAGCGAGAGAGTTCTCCCGCCGTCTTGAACTGCCCTCGGGCGGACACAATGGGCCAGTTGTCCACCACCACTACCACAGGTAGGATGGGGGAGAAGGGAGGATGAGGAGGTCGCCTCCTCCTCCTCCTCCTCCTCCTCCTCCTCCTCCTCCTCCTCCTCCTCCTCCTCCCCCTCCTCCTCCCTCTCCTACCTATGGTAGTGGTGGTGGAAAACGGGCCCATCAGGACATGTGGCTGCCTCACATTCTCGGCCTTCCGTGCCACGGCCGCAGCCTTGCGGCTGGTGGTTGGTGGCTGGATTGTTACGGTCGAAGAAGAAGAAGAGACGCCACAAACACAAATTGTTGGCGCTCCGCGCGGTTTCCTTGGATCAGCGCCTGGGCCCCCCCGGCGGCGGCGCCGCCCCTGGCGCGCTCCGCGCGCCAGGGAGGGGGGCCCGGCGCAGACTCAAGAAATTCGCGCAGAGCGCCAAAAGTTTATGTCTATGCCGTTGTTTTCTTCTTCTTCTTCTTCTAGTTACAGCCACGGGAGTCGACGCGAGGAAGCGTCCTCCCCCAGTCACGTGGGATGACGATCGAGAATTGCCCAGGGGGGGCCGCGACGCGGCAGCGCACCGGGCGAAGTTTCATTCGTTGGGTTCTGGGCCCGTTCGTGGGCGTCGTCGTCGATTATTTGAGGTTCCCCTCCAGAGTCTTTCCCAGCGGCGGCCCCAGCGTGCAGCCTCTTCATCGTCATCCGTCATGCGCTGGCGTCCGGGAGGGAGGAGAGGCGAGGGGTGTGTAGATATCATGGCGTGGGCCATGAGATCTCCAGGGTATCATGGCCCCTCTTCTTCATTCGATGCACCCCCTGGCCCCCACTCCCGCGCACATGCCTCGGGCCACGCTGCGCATCCAATGTGCTCCTCTTCCTGGCATCCCTCTTCGGCGCACCCGATGCCTTTACCCGTGCTGTGCTCCGCAATGGGCGGGCCACTTCCCGCAGGGCTTGCCGCAGAAGCTCAGCCCCGCGGCCTGTGCATGCCCGTGCCCAGTCGCCGTCGACTTCAGAAATGCAGGCTCTGGCCCGTCCTCTCCTGGCTCCACTCGGCAGCTTGCTCCCGAGCCGTCTTCGCTCTGGCGGTGTCGGTGGGGGTGGGCGAGATAGGAGAGGAACAACGAGTGGCACAAACGTAACAGGCTCGGAGGCCCGCGCGCAGTTCCTGGAGAGCGGCGCTGGACCCCCCTCCCGGGCGGATGCAGCGCTCCAGGGGCGGCGCCGGAGGCGCTGCCGCGGACCTCCCAGCTGTTTCGGGGGTGGACAGAACCCCCACCACCCTGACACGTCGATTCGTGAATTGTCCGTTTTCGGTTCTCGAGAGGGCCCCGTGGCCGTCATTTTCCAGGCTTGCGCCCGCCCGATTGGGGCCCGAGGTCGTTTTCACTGAACCACGTTTTGCTAAAGGGGGTTCTGTCCATCCCTGGTTGTTCCCCGCCTCACAGGTTGGGGCCGTTAGGTTTTTCATGAACAGACCTCCCGGCCCGCCCACCCTGCATACCGCGGCCGTCAGATTCCCAGGTCCACCGAGAGTCTCCCGAGGCCCTCGCCGACGATCCGCCCACTCTGCATATCGCGGCCGCCAGATCCCCAGTTTCACCGAGAATCCCCCAAGACCCCCGCCTCGTCCCTTCGACGAGCCCGACAGAACCTTACAGAACTAAACATGGCTCCACAAATTATACAGTCAACCCGCATAGTAAGGGTGGGCAACCTTCCCAAGGGTACCCTTGCATCCTGCCCCTTCGGGCCATCCCTGGCCGCTTTCGCTGGCCGCGCCCCGCTCGCAAAATGTCGGCATGGCCTACCAAGGCAGCTGCATCCTTACCGTGCATCCTTATTCCATGGGTTGACTATAACATGACTGAACATAGCACAGCATAACATAGCATAGCGTATCTGACCATAAGAGTCCATACCAAACATAACAGCGCATTACATTACACTTGGTCACAACACGTTTCATTGTATAGCATGAGTAAGCATACCATGGCAGGCGCGCAATAACGTAGTAGACATTAGCATAGAGATCACAACAGAACATGACAGAGCGGAGCATAAGAGAACACAGCATAGCATCAGTATTTTGTTTCGAGCGACTCCCACCTCCTGTTATATCCTCCCTCTCCTCCTCCTCCTCCCCCTCCTCCTCCTCCTCCTCCTCCTCCTCCTCCTCCTCCTCCTCCTCCTTCTGCTCCTCCTCCTCTTCCTCCCCCCTCCCCCGCCTCCTCCTCCTCCTCCTCCCGCCTCCCTCCTCCTCCTCTCTCTCCTCTCCTCCTCCTCCTCCTCCTCCTCCTCCTCCTCCTCCTCCTCCTCCTCCTCTTCCCTCCTTTCCGCCTCCTCTGCATTCTCCTCCGTCCCTGTGATATGCATGCGAGATCCTGGAGAACTGCAACATGTGAGACTTCGCTTGCCCAGCTGAGCCCATACCATAGCACGCGGCATCCTTGCTGGAATTTCTGCCTCCGAAGATCTTGCTGGAGGGCTTCCTGGGAGCCTCGTCTGGCATCTGAAGCTCGATGGGTGATCGCCAGGCCATCCCGGAAGATCTTATGGCCGTTTCGAAGCGTAGAGTCCGTCTAGGGTCCATCTCGGGCTGGTTTTGAGCCGTCTTGGGGCATTGCCTGCGCCTTTCAGGGCTATCTTTTGAGATGGTTAGGGGCCTCATTGGCCGCTTGGATCTTGAGGGCATCTCGGGGCCTATGGAAATTCCTTCTGGCTCACATTGAAGGAAGTATTGAAACATATCAGGTGTTTGGCTTCTCTGGCCTCTTGGCGTTCCGATCTCGATTCGATTCGGGACGTCTCTCTGCCCGTCGGGTCCGCTTCCGACCCGATCTGACTCCGCGATTCGATCCAGCTCGGGCCTGTCCGAGGTTCGGACGGAGCGAGGACGAGGACGACTTTGTTCCAGAGCGTTCCAGAACGCTTGCAGAGCGTTACGGGACGCTCTGAAAAGGCTGCGGCGCCCGAGACATCCTCCAGAGCCGCCGGATATCAGATATTCTCGATTGCGAAGACTTCTACGACCGGCGCCGCCGACCCTGAAGGGAGACGACGACGACGACGACGACGACGACGACGACGACGACAACGACGATAGCCACAACCACAACCACAACCACAACCACAACGGCAGCGGCGGCGACGATGACGACGACGCTGACGTGGGCCAAAGTCCTCAGGGATGCTTCTTGGAGTCTCTTCGGACGGCTCTCGGGGGCCTCTTGGGAGGAATTGTGGGGCCTCTTGGGAGCCTGTTGGGGGCCTCGTGGGGGCCTTCGAGGGCGGGGGTTTCTTGGGGGCGTCTTGGAGGCTTCTTGGAGCCTCCTGAGAGCTTTGCGGGGGCGAGGGCTCGAAATGTTCGTTCGGGACCCCCGTCTGCGCACTCCCTTGGAGCCGTCTTGGGGGCCTATTGGGACGTCTTGGAAACGTTTTGGGCTGTGTTGGGGTCATCTTGGGCTGTTCTTGGGCCTCTTGGAGGACTTTGGGCCGTCTTGGGGCGATCTTGGAGGCCTCTTGCTCCGTCTTGGAGCGGCGGGAAATCGAAGAGGCGAGAACGCCAAAATCTGTTCAAAACCTACAGGAATTTGCGAATGTTGCCTTTCGAGGTACGTCTGGGGAGTGCTCTTGGAGGCCTCTTGGAGCGTCTTGCAGGCCTCATGGGCCGTCTGAAGGCCGTCAAGGCGTCTTGGACAGATCGTTCGGCGATGCGGGGCCCTCTTGGAGCGTCTTGGGGGCCTCTTCGGGCACTCTCTTGGCCCGTCCCGGTGTTCTTTGTGGACGTGGTGACCTCCCCCCCTGGGATTCCCCTCCCGACGGGGGAGGGGTCAAGGGGACTGGGCTCCCCGTCGCCTCGATTACGACACTTGCTAGATTCTGCTTCCGCCGACGAGCTTGAGGAGGAGGGTGCAGGGAAAGGGGACGACGGGGACGACGGCTGCCGGAGACGGCGGCTCGAACAGGCAAGACCCTCACGCACGCCGGCAGGGTAGGCGGAATTTGTGCCCACAGCGTGGACCCCGAGAGGCTTGGACCCCTTCCGCTGGGGCCACGAGTGGTTCGCCATCGAGGAGGTTTGAAAACCAGGTCGGCAGCGACCATTCCACCCAAAAGGGCAGCGGGGCAGCGAGGCCGGCAGCGAAGGGGACACGCGATCTGGGTCACCCCCAGGGGGGCGAAGATGATCGCGTTTCGCGCGTCGCGGCCTGGGCTAGAGCGGCGCTGACCTTCTCCAGGGAGGTCTCGAGAGGGCACTCGCGCGTCGCGGGGCGCGATGCGCGAAGTTCGGTGACTTAGTCGATGAGGCGCATTGGGGCCTGGGGCAGGCGGCAGTGACCACAACGCGCTCAGCGCGACGTACAAGTTCGGCTCAGGTCCGCGGAGCGGGGGGGGGCAGAGGCGGGGTGAGGATGAGCAAGGGGAGAACCGCAGTCCGGAACAGAAGAAGGGTCAGGTCATCGTTCGTGGGAACCCATAAGGGACTGATACCGCTACTCCCCAGACCTCTTCTGGGGTGCGTTCTGACTGACCAGGATTTCGAGGTGAAACTAGCGGTGGCGGCAGGGGCCTCCCAGGAGACCCAAAGAGGGGAACACGAGGGAAGGGCAGCCGTACGGGTAATGGAGGATGGCGATTAATAAATGACCGGGGGTCGTGTTCACGCGGCGGCGCCCGGGATGACGATTAGAAAAAACCGGCCGCGGGCTGGAAAACTATGTTTTAATCGTTCTCCTCCAGTCAGAAAATTGTGCAGAAATAGCAGAAGACTATTTTTTTAATCGTTCTCTCCCCTTTGTTTATTACTCGTCATCCCGCTACCTCTTCCTCCTCTGACGTTCGGGGTGGCCGAGAGTCGGCCCACCTCCGACACGTGCCGACGTTTCGGCAACGGCCGACCCCGCGGTGTCAGGAACCGACGCAGGGGTCGCCGCGGCACGAACTTGCCGGACCCAGGTCGCCCGCGAGGGCGCGAGAAGGGTCGCGCCTCGCGCGTCGCAGCCTGGGCAGAGCAGTCGCCCTCCTCCAGGGGGGGGGGACACGCGGGGCCAGGGCGACGGGGGGCGGGTCACCCTCCTCTCGGGGAGACGTAAGACTCGAGTAAGCCGGAACTCGGGTTTACCAATTGTTTTTCTGACGAGCGCGTCTTGGATTTTGACGGTCCCGTTTTCGTGGGATGTCTTCAGCGGGAGCCCGTCGTCAAATTCCAGATTGGGTCTCGTCATTTTTATGATGGCCCCCGTCAGGTCAACCCGAGTCCCCCGCACCCGAGTCTTCCGTTTCCCTGATTCTCCAGGAGGAGCAGGAGGGGGAGCCAGACGACGATGCCGACGACGACGAAGACTAAGAGCACAACGGCGACGAGGCAGCAGGCGTGTAGTATCCCCTGGCCGGCGGTCTGCAAGACGGGCGCGCGGGGCCAGGGCGCATCGGGGGGCGGCGGTGCGCGAAGGCAGGCGACCTAGAGCACCGGCCTGAGGCACCGGAGTCACCGAAGGCGGCAGTGCCACGGCCGATCGGTCAAGCCAGTGTTCGGGGAGGTCTTGGTGGCACTTGGGCAACTCCTTTGGAACATATAGACACATATAGTTGTACATGTGTGTAAATGTGTCTAGAAGGATGTAGATAAACACTTTGTATACATATATACCTATACGACCACCCTTCGGGTGATAAGGAGGTTCGGGGGGGGAGGAACCAACGTCTCACTCGATCGGTCTCACTATCGATCTCACTATCGATCTCAGTATCGGTCTCATTCGATCGATCTCCCTCGATCGATCTCACAATCGATCTCACTCGATCTATCTCACAATTGATCTGACTATCGATCTCACAATCGATCTCACAATCGATCTCACAATCGATATCACATTCGGTCTCACTATCGATCTCACTATCGATATCACAACCGCTCTCACAATCAACGTCATCATCCTCATCATCAATTACAACATCAACATCAACATCATCATCACCAACATCATCATAATCGGGACACCGTCCTCATTATCAACACCAACATCATCATCATCATCACCATCATCATCATCATCATCATCATCATCATCATCATCATCATCATCATCATCACGGTCATCAACATCATCGGGACACCACCATCATCATCATCATCATCACCATCATCACCATCATCATCATCAACATCATTATCATCAGCAGCATCAGGACACAGTCATCGTCATCATCATCAGCAGCATCATCATCGGGACACCATCATGACCACCATCGTTAACATCATCATCATCATCATCATCATCATCATCATCGGGGCACCATCATCATCATCGACATCATCATCAACGTCATCATCATCATCGGGACACCATCATCATCATCAACATCAGCATCATCAACATCAGCATCAACATCATCGTCATCGGGACACCATCATCATCAACATCATCAACGTCATCATCATCATCACCACCATCATCATCACCATCATCACCATCATGACCATCATCACCATCATCATCTCACAATCGATCTGACTAATTATCGATCTCACAATCGATCTCACTATCGATCTCACAATCGATCTCACATTCGGTCTCACTATCGATATCACAATCGATCTCACAATCGACGTCATCATCATCATCATCATCATCAACATCATCATCATCATCATCATCATCATCATCGCCATCATCACCATCATCATCATCACCATCATCATAATCATCCACATCATCATCGGGACACCGACGGGACACCGACGGGACACCAGCGGGACACCGGCGGGACACCGCGCGCCACCGGCCGCCCGGAAGAGACACATTTGGTCCGGCCGTGCCTCAGCCACAGGGACATCGACGGGACACCGGCGGGACACCGGCGGGACACCGCGCGCCACCGGCCGCCCGGCGGAGAATCATTTGGTCCGGCCGCGCCTCAGCCACAGGAGACTTTCCTCTCGCCCGCCCACGCAGCTTCGCCTCGCCCGCACGCACGGCACGCACGAACACGAAACCGAAATCGATTTCCCAGTAGGGGGGCTCTGCGTTCCACTTCGATCTCACCCCCTCACCTCCGATATGTGTGTGTGCAGCCGCCCCCACCCAGCACCCATTCATTGTGCATCGGTCTGTGAGCTTTCCATTCTTAGTCTTACTGATCATCTGCATTGTCATCCGTGTGTGCTCATCCATCTTTCCTATTCGTCATGTATTCGCTGCTTTCTCGTGCTGGGATCTACTTGGAATCAGCTGGACTTGGGACCTGCTCAATTCTAAGAAGATTCGAATAATATTCGAATAGGAATCCAATTTGACACACCTAGATCTGGGATCCGCTCAATTCCATTGAGATTGCAATTCGATTCTACATGGAATACATTTGGAAACAGCTTAATTTGGGATCTGCTCAGTTGCTCAGTTCCAAGTAGATCTAAAATATGTTCCAGTGCGGATCCAATTGGAATCACCTGGGCTTGTGACTTATCCGATTCGAATTCAATTTCAGTCGATCCAAACAGGAATCCCAGTGGAGCCAGCTGTATATGGGATCTGCTCCTACATTTCGCTGAGAGTCTAATTCGATTTCAATAGGAATCAGATCGGAACCAGCTGGGCCTTGAATCTGCACACTTCCAGTTAGATTCCAATTCCATTTTAATAATAATCTACGTGGACTCAGCTGGACCTGTGGTCTGCTCACTCACTTCCATTTAAATTTCATTTCGATTTCAATCAGAATCTCACTTGGACGCAGCTGGATCTGGAATGTGCCAAACGCCAATCACATTCTCAGTCCCAATCGAGCCAAACTAGATGAAAATGGAGACCCGCTCCATTTCAATTCAAATTCAACTATTCCAAAATATTTCTGCTTTGAATCACCTAGATCTGGGATCTGCCCCACCCCAATAATATCCGAATGTGATTCCACAAGGAATATGTTTGGAATCAGCTGGATCTGGGGATCTGCTCAATTCTAATTCGACTCGAATTAGATTCCAATCGGAATCAATTTGGAATCAGTTGGATAAGGGATCTGCATCATGTCAATTCGATTCCTAACAGATCCCCGTAGGAATACACTCTGAATCAGCTGTGTTTGGGATACGCTTAAGTATCATTCGGGTTTATTCGGTCCGAAGAGGAGTCTCATTATCAGCTGGATCTGGGCTCCGCCCCTCCCTTATGATTCAGTCATGTTCCGATGGGAATCGAGCTGTAACAGGTCGGATCTGGATTGTTGTTTGTTGCTTCTCTCTCTTTCTTTTTTGTTGTTTCTCTCTCTCTCTTTCTTTTTTTCTTTCTCTCTCTCTCTCTCTCTCTCTCTCGGTGGGGGGGGGGGGGCAGCATCGGGGGGGGGCAACATCGGTGCCGTCATCCCTCATGGCCGCCCCCCCGAACCTTTGGGGGTCACAGACCCCCCGGGACTGCCCCGGGCCGCTTCCAAATTGCCCACGACAGGCCACGCGGACCGTACAGATGGTCAAGAAAGCCTGAAGAGGCCCCGAAGACGCCCAAGAGCGCCCGAAGAGGGCCCGTGAGGGCTCCTAGAGGGCCTTCAAGAAGCACAAATCTGCACATTTCTTCAGTAAAACTTACATTTTCGGCATACTCGCTGGCTTCGTCTTCACAGTGCCCCAGACGCCCCCGAGGAGCCCCAAGACAGCCCAAGAGAGACCCAAAAGGGCCCCAGACGGCCCAAAAGGGTCGGCCTGTGGGGCTAACGGAAACCCCCAAGACGGGCCAAGAGGCCCCGAAGCCAGCCCAGGAGGCCCCAAGACGGCCTCAGGGAGGCCCAAGAGGGCCCCGTTCGAAATCATGTTCCCGGAAGCCTCTCTGGGAACATGACTTCCGGGCTCCCAGGACGCCCAAGACGCCCACAAGACAGCCTCAGCGAGGCCCCAGAGGGCCCGAGATGGCTTGAAGATGGCCGAAGAGGGCCCCGAGAATGCCCTCAAGAGGCAAACATCGGCCCATTTCCTGTGGAAAACGTACATTTTCAGCATACTCGCTGGCTTCGTCTTCAGAGTGCCCCAGACTCCCCCGGGGAGTCCCAAGACAGCCCAAGAGAGACCCAAGAGGGCCCAAGACGACCCAAAAAATTCGTCCCGTGGGGCTCACGGAACCCCCCAAGACGGCCCAAGAGGCCCCGAAGCCAGCCCAGGAGGCCCCCAAGACGGCCTCAGGGAGGCCCAAGAGGGCCTCGTTGGAAATCATGTTCCCGGAAGCCTCTCCGGGAACATGATTTCTGGGCTGCCAGGCCGCCCAAGAGGCCCAAAAGACAGCCTCAGCAAGGCCCAGGAGTGCCCGAGATGGCTTCAAGATGGCCGAAGAGGGCCCCAAGAGGGCCTTCAAGAGGCAAACATCGGCCCATTTCCCGTCGTAAAACGTAT